CCCCAAAACCCCAAAACCCCAAAACCCCGAAAGTAAAGATTTTATGATAATACTACAGAGAAATAGTTAAAATAAAATTTAAAAAGCTTAATTTAATACCTGAACTTAAACTTATTAATTACTATTCTAAAGTTATGATACTAGTAAATATTGTTAATTAAAAAGTAAATCAATGAGCAATAGTGGTATGAATATTTCAAAGGACACTCTCAATTCAGCTTTGTTGCCAGACAGAGATGAAGATGAAAATAACACCAGTGGCTTATCCAAGGAGAGAATAGATCTAGAGTTAGATGCTGAAAATAAAAAGCAGCAGGGCTCACAATGGATTTGGTATTCACTAAGCGCGGCAATAATTTGTGCAGTCTGCAATTCAATGATCAGCGAGCTTAGCGTCCTTGGTTTCGAGGGTCTCTTATATCTCTAACCTGGTGCTACATTCAGTGGCTTAATGTTTTTCCTCTATTTATCTGCAAGAAACCACCTAAATCATGGTAACTTCAGCCCAGAAATATCTATGAAAAATGAGAGCTCTGGCAAAATTGAATGGCAAAACTTAATTCAATTCCTACTTTATGCTTTAGTTTACTTAACTTATCAAAGCTTAGTAGTATTGACATTCAATTTCTCGCTCTAAGCCAATGTCAATCCAGGGCTTGTTAGCACTATTTGGGCAACTACACCACTATTTGCAGGATTCTTAGATTATATGCTCTTTGGCCAAAGATTAACTATGAAACATTTTATTGGAGTAATATGCTTAACTGTCTGTGTTGCTTGCATTTCAATCACGCCAGTTATCTATTCTGCTGATCCAAATGATAACTTGAAGACTTAAACTATGTAACCGTGGGTGCCTGTAACATTAGCTCTTATTTCACCCATTTTCTTTGCAACAAGCAATATTTAGACGAAGTTTTTGACCACCAAAAAGAACTTTGACTCTTTCAAGTTGTCTTTTGGAGCATTTACTTTTGTTGGTATAATTTTAACCTGTTTCTTAATACCAAAGTTTTGGGATCCTAATTTCAATCTTAAAAATTTATTAATAGGCAGCTTAGGAAGTATTCTGAATTCAATAGGCTTATCTCTTATCGCTCAAGCATGTGCCACTGGTCCTATTGGTCCAGCTGTATCTCTTGTCAACCTCAATACAATCATATTCACGATAATAGAAGCATTCAAACTTTGGAAATTCCCAAAAGGCTTAGAGATATTTGGACTAGCAATAGGCTTCACTGGAGCTATGGTACTTTCAATGCCAGATCAAATGGAGAGATTATTCAGATTCCTTACTTGTAAAAAATGAACAGATATCAAATAAAGTCAAAAGAAAGAAGTATAATTAATATGAATGCCAAGTCCTGCCTTTTTAAAATTTCAGAAGACTTCATGCTAAAATGCTTTAGCTAAAAAACTTCTTAAATTGAACTTTGTAACATTTATAAAATAAACTGCCTCTTCTATTTCAATTATACCTAGTGAGTGGGGTTTTGGGGTTTTGGGGTTTTGGGG